ACATGTGCTGCCATCAAACAAGCAAGATCTCTTGGAAGGGAAGAGATCCCTTCCAACCCCTTCCACTCTGTGACTCTGTGTAAATGGTATGAAATAGGAGTGGAGAATGTGCTGGTTTTAATTGGGAGTTAATTTTCTTCACAGTAGTTAGCATAAGGCTGTGTTTTGGTTTTGGGCTTCTCTGAGAAGAATACTGTTAACACTAATGTTTTCAGTTGTTGCCAAGCAATGTTTATACCAAGCCAAGCACTTTTTCAGTTTCTGACACTGCCCCTGTGTTCCCAGCTGCTTCTTCTACAAGCACCTGGGAGGGGACACAGCCCGGAGAGCTCACCCAAACCAACCGGACATTCCCTGCTATCAAACGTCACGCTCAGTATAGAAACTGGGGGAGTTGGCCGGGAGGGGAAATCACTGCTTGGGAACTGGACAAGCCTCAGTGAGCTGGTGATGAGCAGTTGCATCATTTTGTTCTCCTTCCTTTTTTGTTTTATTACATATTACCATTATTAGTAGCAGTAATAATTTTACCTATATATTATTAGTAGTATAATAATTCTATTTTGCTCACTTTCAATATTAAACTGTTCTTATATCAACCTACAAGTTCTCTTTATCTTTTTCCTCAAATTCTTTCCCTCATCCTCCTGTGGGAGGCTGGGGGGGAAGTGAGCAAGCAGCTGTGTAGTACTTGGTTGCTGACTGGGGATAAACCATGACAGTCCCTCACACACCTTGTTTTCTTCTTTGTATTTCTACATATTAAAAAAAAACTTGTTTTTTTAAAATTTTTAATATGTGAACTGCAACAACTTGTAATATCACTACTCAAACTTTTTAACAGATTTTTTTTTGAAAGCCTAAAACATGAGTCACCCCTATTTCGATTCATGTTTTTCTGAGTTGCAGAAAGCACAAGAGTGGTAAAATGCCAATTTTTTCATATATTTGAATTTTTAAGAACCCGTTCCTTCTTCCACAGAAAAGTGTTTACAAAGAAATAAATATTGATTCCCAGACTTGCTCTCATGCCAATTTCATCCAGAGTTAATTTGTACGGTCAAATTTGAAATTGTTTAAAGGTAAAACTTGCAACAGCAGCAGGTCTAGCAGAACCTATTTCAGGACTCAAATATCATCTTCTAATGTACTTTAACGAGTACTCTCTAGTACTTGCTAAAGAGTGGTAAAAGCCTAAATGCCAACAGAGAGGCTCAGTCATGAACTCCTCATCTGCAATAATTAAAGAATCAGAGCATTCTCTGAATTAAAGAACCCAAGATTAGAACTGCTTAGGTCAGCGAGAAGGTTCTCAGGTGGCATCCACAAAATTTTAGCTCAAACCTGTATTTTCAGGTGTAAATTAACGCCACATAAGGCACGGAGAATAACACAATATTTATTGTGCTTAGCTCCTACTGAGCACACATCTGCAAGTATCACGAGCAAGATTGACTCTTCAATCTTTCTTGAGAGAAAAACAACCCTGAGAGTATTTTAATCCCCATTATGTTTGAGTTCAACAGAGAGAACTGACTCTCTACTGCCCAACTGCTCAGTTCACAACTTCATGGCATTATTATGTATTTCACTGAACATTTTTCTTACCTTACTGATTTAGCCAAATGTATTTCAGAGGCCATAACATGGATGGTTTGAAAAAAATAACTGCACTACTAAAATGGAACAGGTTTAATTACACAACATGAAAGACTACAGTCCTCTCACAAAGCGGCACTTCAATTTTCAGATTACACACTAGCAAATTGTTTTCTGTTACGCCACATGTGTCAACAGAAGGTTAAGAACCGGAGTATGTACAACTTCTGTGCATGAAGGCCACATTAACCATCACTAAAAATTTTAGAGCATCTCTGTTGGCAAAGCTGTTTTTCAGACAACAGACATTCAAACATCAGTCCTATAAGCTACGCTGAGATAGTAACCAACGCTACAGCTGAAGTCTCCAAATACAGTAAGACCAAGGGGACCGCAGCCTACCTGTAAAACTCTTCTGCATCAATGCACACAGACTTCCTTCAAAAATAAAGGCAAAAGTTTTTCATGTTTGCGTCCTTCTTACGGGTGCCTTGTCATAAACTCGACATTCAGATTCAAGTTAAACCTCTTAGCTTCTGACTGTGCAGAGGAAACTCACGGCCTGAATTTCCAGTAATGCTTTTTGATACCCTGTATTATTTTCTAACTACATGCTCATTCCCCAAATTTTGAGGATATTCACAGTGTAATGCTAAGTGCACTAAAATGGCTTTCTAGTAAAAAAAAGTTAATTTAAGACAAGCTCTTTGCCAGTTCCAAGAAGATGCAGATGGCATGTAAACCTACCCCTGTGATGGAGAGCTGGGAGTCCTACTCAGACTCACAGTTCCACTGCATCTGTTAAGACTGCAACGTTTCATTAACCCACAAGTAGCACAGGATGCATTTTTGGCCACCCATATCCTTATCTCTATAGAGAATGTTTCTCTCTTGTACTTGGAGACTTTCCCACAAACCAAAGTTGTTTCTATTTAAAGGAAAACTGCAGTGTGGCAGGTATTCATTGCACTTAATTCCAAAAGGACAGCTAAAAACTCTTAATGTCTTGAACATAATTCAGTATCAAGCAGATGGTACAGACTATGGAATAAAAATAAAGGTCACTCTTCCCCAGGATGGTTTTTGTGCTCCCACATCTTGCATCGCAGGTATAACCAGGCCTTGGTGTAACCACCACCAAATCATCAGGCCCTTTCATGCACTGCAATGGGACTTTTTCATTGCAGGCATCTCGGTTAAGACGGAGAGCTGAAATACAGAAGAGTCTAGTGACACAGGAAAAGTATCCTAAAGTAGCTCCAGGTCTCCGCAATGGAAGTCAGAAATCCAGGCAGATCTGAAAATACCATGTGGTGCCTTTTCTGGGTCACAGGATACTTTCATGACTTAAAGAAAATAACCTGGTGGATTTTTTTTTTTTGAAGGGGTGGGGAGGAACCTGTCCCAAAACTCAGTGAAATAGTCTTTTTCAGCAGGCTTTAAGTCAGGCTTTAATTGTCCTAAGTATAAATATAGTTTTGTGCCTTTTCATTTACTAAAAAAGCCAGATATTCGACTAACTACTGAATTGGTTACAGTAATTTTAGAACTCTATTAGAAGTTTACCAGACAAAAATTGTGACAACTATGCCTTTCCCAGACTTCCTAATAATAAACGTGAACTTTTTTTGTGCAACCTGCTTCCTAGCAATATGTGGGAAAAATGCCAGTCCTCATGGTGACAAAAATCATTCACCATAATCAAGTTAGTTAAAGCAGTTATTTGTAAATTACACTGCAAAGATTTTAATTCATCTATCAAACATCAGTTCAGCAACTTAAGACTAATTATTGCAGTTTTCCTTTAAATGTTCTTGCCCTACATAAGCTGATAGTTATCTCAGAAAAAAAAAAATCTTCTAGCACAAGAGGCAAAAAGGCATGTAACCCAGTAAAAATTGGCAAGCCAAAAAGGTTTTTTATGCGATTTTATTTTTGATTGCCATATGACCGTTCTATGGTATAATATGCTGCAAGAATAATTCACACAAAATCCTGCCCACAACACTGCAACTGATGTAAAAAAAACCCTCAAAGCATGTTTTTTTTGGCTAATGAAATCATTAAAATATGCCTATAATTTGCTGCCTCCAGTAATGTGTCAGAAAATAAAAGGTATAGAATTTATAGATCCTTCTGACATATGAAATTGATAACAGATTTATCCAAAATGCTTGAAATCTAGGTGTGGATATAGCTAGGGCACCTACGTAAACAAATTCATATTGATGTCCTAAAATAGGTGACCAGCTGCAATCTGCAAGTATTTACAACAAGGCTATGTAGGTTTGTCATGTACTGGAAGGTAGAGCTGAAAGCACAGCAGAAGAGCAACAGTGAACAGGGCCTTACTGCAATACAGGCAAGAGGTACGCCGTGTTATTTCTAACAGCTGCCAAGCTACAGTCTTAACAAATTAAAGCAAAGCTGGCCACTTATCTTAAGAATGGGTTTTGACAACACTCATAGGAGCTCAGATAGGCTTACAAAGAAACAGATCTGAAAATTCCAGAATTCAAGATTCAAAGATAGTCCTTCCTCCAATTTACCATTCCTATGCTTTGCTGGTGTGCAAAACTGCGCTAAAACCTCAGAACAGATTTAAAATTTTGCCCATGTCTTGTTAATATACTGCAGTCTTCAAATTTACACAGAGCTGCAGTTCTCCTGGTTTTGCTCAAGTGTCACTCATCTAATTTAGCATGACAGCTGAGAAACGATGTCAGATGCGTTACAGCTCAGTTTAAAAAACATCCTCTACCTGGTATCTCTGCAGTGATTGTCTTGCTGCTCCCTGAAACCTCTTCATCATCTGATGAACTCGTGCTCGAGTCACACGTCAGGTCACTGTCGCTGGTACTGCTGTCCTGCAGCAGGTTGTACTTCTTGCGAGCAGCTGCCTCTCGCTTCTGTCTTAAGAGCCGGATTCTTTCTTTGTGCTTTTGGCTTCGATGACCTTTTACCTTGGTAACTCGACCATTCTGCTTATCAGTAGACTGTCGGTTTTTCTTGGCAGCCATTGTTGAAGTTTCGCTTTCAGACCTGGATCGCCTGGATTTCCTCCCCGCTGCAGACCCAGATACCGCAGAAGGGTCTCCCTCTACAGAAGCTTCAGCTTGACAGGGCTCATTCTCTTCTGTGGACGATAATGTATCCGAGTCAGCCAAATTCCCACTGGAAGAAGGGGAAAGCATGCAATGGTTAGAAGAGTCACTCTCATAAACTTGACCATCCGCTGGCTTATCACTCTCTGTAGACGCTAACTGAGACTCCGAGGAGTCTCGCCTCAGTTCCATCAGTAGGCAAGGCATTGAGGAGAGCACCGCGGAGTCCGCTGCAGCGGGCACGTCGTCTTTCTCAGTCTGTGTCTCCAGTTCTATAGGTCCATCTTCATCAGGAGCAGTCTCTCGCTTTTCAGAACTCTTTGGTGGAACTTCCGAATCAACTATTTCTTCTGCTTTTCCCACTGCCTCCATCTTCATTTCAGAACACCAAGGTCCTCCCGGACTCAAAGCATGAAGCACGTGGTCTGGAAGACTCGGTGAACTAGACAGCGACGTCAGCAGTACAGCAGCCTGCACGAGAACAGAACAGTAAGAGTAATTTACCCACGGAACTCGCCCCATCCTGCTCTCTGCAGCATTACCAAAGTAACTTACTGCTTACAATTACAGACCATGCAGTTCAGTGTCGTACTGGTTTTCTTTATTTACTTTTTCATAGTGATGTCATCCTGTTACACGCAATGATCCTTCCTTTTACACACCCCCGAAATATGGCAGTGGAGTCACATTAAATGTGGTTCACCTGACTCATCAAAACAGACCAGAAAATAATAAAAATATTTCTAAACTCTTGCTTTATAAAATTTAAATCAATATATTATAAGCAGCATACGATAAACTTCTTTACCTAGAGTTTTAAACATATTTTAGTGGAGAATTTTAGCCTTTATGAATAATGCCAGCCTGAAAATTCCCAGACTCGGGAGTCATCTACCTGGACAGAACAGAATATAGTTCAGTTTTCATATCTATGCGAAATCTGCGTTCAGTTGTACAGGACCCCAACCTTACAAAATTACAATGTTTTTATGGTAATTTGTAACTTCCAGTACCTACGTGACACAGGAGAAATCCAATCACTTTGAGCTGAACCTGAGCGGCCGCTGAACATTACAGAGCACTACTACAAAAACTTTCCTTTTCCAGTGGAGCCGCTCTACCAATGGATCTTACGTGCAGAAGACGTGCTTACAAGAAGTGTCATGAAGTCAGACTGAATGCTCAGGGACATGGGTTTTACATCACCTACAGGCAAGGTCTTCAGAAACATCACATATGTGTAACAGATTTGTTCTCAGTAGAAACCCACCATGCTGGTGAGACACATAAAGGCTTTTTAGGAGTATCTAACACACCATCCAAGTGTGCCTTGGGTCTCTCACATACCAGCCCTGGTTGTAGGAGAACCTACAGGCTGACCTACTTTCTCACAAATCTCCCAGGAACACAGCATCAAATAGTACGGGCTGCAAGTAAGAACCAGTATCCACCCACACCAGCATCCCACAATTTACTTCAAGTTATCATTTAATAAATGGCATTGCTTCAGTGCCAACACACACACAAAAATGCTATTTATTTGAAAGATGACTTGCATATTATCAAACAAAAAGTAGCTGAAGCGCCTTAGGGGAAATTTTGTTTGAGAGATCAATAGTTATCATTTTTCCTTCATTATTCACAATTTGCGTTCCACCTAAACTTTTGCTTGGAATTCAACACAAAATAAAGATCTCCCAATTACCAGATTCGCTTACAAATGAATGGTATGGAACAAGCCATTTATGGGTTTAGAAGTATAGTAAATGATAAATTTATGGCCCTTCAAAAGAAGTGTAGACAAGGAAAAAAACAACCCCAAACAATGTTAAGATTTAATCTACTGTTTTTAAAAAATGCATTTCTGCAGACGAGGGCAATTAGTAGTTGAGCAGCCTGAAAAGTATGGACAGTTCACAGGGATTTTTCTGTAGCCGGACAATCCCTCTTCAGTTTCCTGATCCATCCCAAGCTGCCTGTAATTCTATGGATGCAACTGTGTGCCGCTTCCCCTCTCCATCTGCAGCACAGAATAAGGCTACTTCCGTGCTTCTAAAAGGTGCTTTGAAAAGCTCAGTGTTGTCCTGTCTGCTCTCACTTTGAAACTTCATTTTTAGAGAAAATTAGAGTTCATGCTTCCCTCCGGCTAATGAATGAAATTCTAGATAGCACAAGAGAATTATGAAACTATTTATGAAAGAAAAACACCAGTTAAGGGAAGAACGACAACACCAGAAAGATGCAGATAACTCTACGTCTGCGAAACATGAAAAAAGCCAAACAGTGTTGGCACATATTGTAAAATACAAGAACATATCTATAAAGAAAAAAAATGGTTCTCAATACTTGCACTGAGTGTAAAACTATTGAAAGCTACTTAAGAAGAATTTCTGGAGAAGGTAATTTAACATAGGCAATAAATATCATGTAAGAACCAATCTAATTCCAAGGCCACGCCATAGCATCAAACCCAAATGATAAATACACATGTTCTGAGACACAAATACATGCCACCACAGTCATAAAATCACTATTTCTACACATTTCACCTGCAAATCTACATTATCAAATAATTCTCCTATTCTACAGGTAAGTAAAACACAGATTTGATGATTAAATGTCTGGGATGAGCACTGTACCTGCTAGTACAATTCCCCAGCTTTGCTCCAGCCATACACGTTGAAGAATGTCTTTTCTGAGAGTGTTAAAATGTACATGCACGGAAAAATTTTGTTGCTCAAACACATACAAGAATATTAGCCTGGCCAAAATAACTATTTAAATATTCATGCTAATAACTGCAGACCAGCTTCTGCACTATCCACCCTTGTAGCCTGGGGAGCACAAAGAAGAGAGCTCGACACAAAGCTCACGGGCAGCCAGAGTTCACCAACGTCCTACCTGGGAACATCATCTACCTCACAGCTCCCAAAGGGACAGTAAGAACACCTGTACTTGCCTTTCCATCTCTCTGGCCTATCAGCCAGAAAAAAATTGTTTACTCTACATGGTACCACACTGCTAACAGTCTATCCAATGACCTCAGAAGGTTTTTTTATTAACAAGCAGGATCTTACTTTAACGAGACAAACCACACTGGTTTGATCCCTCACCCAGGGATCACTGCCTTTTCAGTGAGAAGGCAGCACAGGGACTACCAACTTCACAAAAGCGTACCTGGTCAACACTGATGCGCGTTTCTGTGCGTGTGGAAAAAATACTTATTCTGATGAGGCTTGTACTCTCCAGGTCCCTTGAACTGGCTCCTTCAAAAGTCAACAATTCTAGTATTAGTACGCGTATAAGAGAGAACTTGATATTCATCTCGCTGGAAACAAAGTCTGCTGTGACTCAAACCGACTTTGCCCCAGGGAAGAATACAGACAGTTCAGGAAAAAGTATGCCAAGGAAAGCCTTTTTCCAAAGAAATAAAAAACGTTGTGATTTAGTTCTACTTGAGAAAAGTAGAGATAAGAGGGAGGAAGAGACTGCAATGAAAAGATCCCATTCCTTTCCTGCCACTCACCAAAACAACACTAGAAAAGGGAATCTCAAGGTGATGTTACAGCTTTACTTAAGCGCGAAGCACACAGCACAGAAAAACAAACTGTGATGCTTACGGACGCAGGTGGATGCTTAATTAGACATTGCTCCGAAACATCACTCTCCTTTCTGTGATGGACAGATACTGCACTGATGATTTTTAAAAGGCAGTGCTGTAAAGACTTTGTGCTAGATTTTTCCCAACTGAAATAGTTTTATTTTCCAGCCACATGCAGAACACGCCAGTACGCAAAAGCCATTAAATACCTAACTGTATCTCCGCTTGGGAAATACTTTCAAATCATGGGTTCATTTGTAGTAAAGGAACGAAATTTGTACACATTTAAACCTGCATTTTAGTGAAGAAATCCAGAAGGACTCCAAAGGTCAGATCAGCAGAGACAGCCCAGCCAGTCTAACAGCTCGCTGCCACAAACAGGGGCGAGTTTCACTCCTACTCTCACCACCCCATCGTGACTGCGCAGGCATACTCCCTCCTTTGCAGCAGGGGTGGCTTATCCTTTCTGGGGCAAATCCACTCCACTAAGTCAGCAGAAAACAAAACCAAAAAAGAAGTGAAATTTTTCTGACAGGGTAAGACGAGGGAGAGGAGGGCAAACAACAAACCACCTCTTTGGAAAAAAGCAAACCGGATTAAAAACTACCTGCTGTTTGCTCTCGTCACACCCTGAGCTCACAGGTCCCAACTAGACACAAGAGAGGGTGAGCCTTTCTTTCACAGCACTGTTCTGAGAATAGATTTTTGAAGATAAAAATTATTAAAAAGAAAATAATTCAGATGTGCCAGTAGCTTCCTAAAGAATAACTACCACAGAATATATGCTGTTAAGTAATGTACACTGCTGCACAGAGTTACATCGAAGATGGCATGTATGCCCTTTACCAATCAATAACTGGCCACTCGTACATCCTTCATAATATTTTTGTTTTGTTTGCTCTCAGTAAATGTTCTTCTTTATAACTGTATATCCTCAAATGTCAGAAGGAAATGAGTTTCACCCAAACAAACGATAAGGCCTGAAATACTTAATAAACACCATGATACCCTCAACCTTAATTGTACATTATCATTCTAGGTGTTATTGAACTGATTCACGATAAAGAATGCCTAACTTACATGCAGCAAAACAGCTCTTTTCCTCAGCAGATGTGGATATGACAGATTCTTACTTCAAAAATAATGTTTTTCCCAGCAGCTTGCTGCTAGAAGTTACTTTAGTTTATTACTAATACATTTCCTCTTACTCAGAGTCCACCAGACCACCACTTCTCCCTGCTTACAACTCCGTCACGCTTACACTAGTTCCAACAACCATGTAAATGAATAAAAGTTATCTAGCAGGACTGTCTTACAATGTCATCATAGCACTGACTGAAAGAAAACAGTTTGAACAACTACCTCCTCACATCACTAGCCATTCATTCGCAAGCTGTAATTTGGGGAAAGAAAAAAAAAAAGGGAGAGAGAAACAGTGCCTACCTTTTTACAGAAAATAACATCAGGTACGTTCCTTAAGTTTTTGCAGCTACGGAAATGAGAAGTTAAACTGCACTGCTGCACTGAGTTACTTGTCCAGAACACACAGCTAACTACAGAAATCTTTCCATAGCATGTACCACCCTACAGCTCCAGCATCACAGAAGCCAGTATTTTCATCTAAATCTGAATATGATGTTGTATTTATACAGAACTAAAGAAACTAAAGAATATAGTGGCTTATACTAACATAAATTATTTCCATCACCAGTGGATTACATTATCTCACATTTTCCCAGTGTAACTGAGCACAGGTGGAATGAATCAGAGGTGCGAGGGAGGTAATGACAAATGTATACAACTGAGGCCAATCAGGTACATAAACAAGTTGACTTTTAAAATGTAAACACTCAGGCAAGCTCATCAAGAAC